ACACACCACGTACACACACACACACACACACACATATATATATATATATAAATATAAATATATACACACACACACATTCCTACACGCGCGCGCACACACACACAACATACATATACATGTATACATTTGTGTACACATTCATACACACAGCATACTCTCACATTCATAACTTTACAAATATACAGACAAACTCACACACTCATAAACACACATGTGCAAGCTGTAAACTCCGGGAGAAAGTTGAGGTTATTCGTCCACTTCTAGACTTTAGTCTTGTTTTAGAACTGGAATTTGTATTCACATCTGTTTTACAGATGTGACATATCTGTATGCTGCATGTTGGTTCCTAACCACTCAGGCAGATGCCTCCGACTTTCAAGGAGACGCTCCTAATGACACGTCTTTCATGACCTGTCCATTAGGGTGCGGTGAATCTATCTTCCCCGCATAATGGGGCCCTGAAACCCATACGGGATCCACGGTGACTGCCCAGTGGTCTAAAACAAAACATCGGTCTAGCACTATACGCCCCACTGGCTCCCAGCTAGAGCCAGCATTAAATGGGTAGGTGGTAAAGTCTTGTGAAGTAAAGGCGGCCGACGCGATATTGGCCACATCACCAACCGAGTGACGACTCGTCTATAAAATATAGGTCTGGCCCTATATGCCTAGAGGCACGGAAAAAGGTTTTTACTAATACCTTTTACTTACTATATAATTGTCTCGGATACATTCAGTCATTTCTTTCACAGATAATCTCCCAAATGTTGGGGCTTTTTGTAGTCAAGTCTATCCCCAACCTTCTGTCTCGGGTACATTCAGTCAGTTCTTTCACAGATGATCTTCCATCACATCATGTTAGACTGTTTAGTATATTTTCTCTCGGTATCCCTCTGTCTCTCTGTGGCTAAGTCGATGCGAACGCTTCGTAATGCTGGGATGCCGGGTTCGATGCCAGCTGCGGACCATGCGCCTTACGTTGGTTTCGACAGTGGTATCAAGAAAGCCGACCGTCCAGTAAGCAATGGCAAACTACTGGACATAAATTTGCTTAGAAAAACCATGCAACAGCCAGGGGCTGTTGGTGTTGGCTCTGCAACGTCCTGTAAAGGATACGCAACTAACCTCTCTTTATCTTCCACTCCAACTGTCCTATTGTCACGAGTTACTCCAGTTTTCTCTGTCTCATGACGGGAGCGAAGAATGTAGATTGTCTCTTTCTGAGGTGTGCTGTCAGTTTTATGTGATACCTAAATGAAAATGAATCCAAATGGCTCACTAGAAATGACATCATACATTGAATGCCGATTGGTCTTTACAATACGAACCTAGCATCTCATGAGGTGAGAATAAGACGTTGGCCGTAGATGGGACACATTATAAGAAAACCTGATAACAATATGACTAGAATTTCCGCGCACTGAAACCCACAAGGTCAAAACAAAAAAGGTCGACCAAAATCATAGGGGAAAAGGAGTAAGGGAATGAAATTAAAAAGGCGGGGCGGATATGGGATGATCTGCCCACGATAGAAAAATTAGTACGGTTTAGTTGAGCGCCATTGCTCCAGTGAAGTTTTTTCTTCTGTGCGGTCTAATAGCTCATCCACTTTTAGTTTAGTTCTGATTGTTCTTCCACGTCTGGAGTAGCTCTAGAACTTGAGTTTTGCGTGCACAGATCTGGCTTATTTAAATGCAGACTATTGGTTCCTTCAGTCTCAGGTAGATGTACTCCCATTTCCAAGAAAATGACCCTAATTAGTCTTACTCTTTGCTCGTTAATGGAGCAGTGGGTGTTTTCCTATTTTATCCAAAATGGGGTCTTGGGGCCCACATGGATAATTGCATTAGCAAAGACGATTTAGTTGAGAGCCCATGTTTCACTGAAGTGAACGGATAGATGAAGAAGAAGACGAAGAAGAAGCCTTGTATGCCCCGATAAGCAAGGGTGTTAGGAAGTCAATTTACGCTTAAAACAAAAACAAAATAACTATGACATCATAACCATAGACAAAGAGAACAAGGAAAACTTTGAGCGAAACTCAAGTATGAAGGCGGCATGTAATCTGATGAAAGTCAATAAGATAAAGCAGTGGTGGCGTAGTTGCAGTGGCACTTGTCATCTACAGCACACACATGGCATGTTTGAGATCGAGGCTTATCCCTAATTAGGACACACAGACTGTGTATTTGTCTGAGCCAAGAGATTTTCTTCAAAGCACAGACGAGCTCAAGACGAGAACCAGTGTTTTCATCGTGGTATGGCCATAGACACGAGCTCAAGGTCATCCCTTTGCATGCCGAGGATGACCTGAGGGGGATGTCAAGGACGAGAACCAAAGTCCATATGGAATCATCTCGGCACGTGGCTGCAGAAAGCTGCGCAAAAGAATCAACCACGCGAAGCTGAAAAACAAATACCTTTCAGAATTGTAAACAAATTTGTTTTGGCAACTGCCACTGGGAGATGTTTGATTACTGTGTTTGCTGTAAGATGTGTGGTGGTGGTTTTAAGTTGGTGGTAATGCTGTGCTGGTATTTTACGAAAAACACATATTCTGATAGGGACATTCTTAACGTTGTGTAGCTTTATGCCTTGAGGTTAGGGAAAACGTTTCCTGATGTAATAATTCATGTATATTGGGTGTTCGACTTCCGCGCAGGGAGTTGGTGGGGGCGATCTTGCGGTTTTCAGACAGTGATATGAGAGTCGCACCGTGAAAAAAATTGGGAGGTCATCTTGTAATATGTCAAAAGTTTGCAGTAGATACATTGCACCCAACCCGTTGTGTAGTGAGCACATAAAAAAAAAAAAAATCCTATGCGATATCCTCTAATAGTGTAATATTGTCTATGCCACAAAGCTTCGCAGAGAGGAGTTAGATATAGGTTTCCTGTCTTTTGCTAGTTGCGTTGATACTACATATCTGTGGTGTCCATTCTTCTTCCGTCACCCATCTCTTTCTTGGTCGACCTCTTGCCTTGTAATCTGCTGTTCTAGCACGCTCTAGCAGGTAGCTGATTTAGTTGTTTCTGATAAAAATACCAAACCAGTGATTAAACACATGTAAAATTCCTGCTGCTGAAAGGCAGAACAGAGCTAGAAGAGGAGAAGTAGAAGTAGTAGAAGAAGAAGAAGAAGAAGAAGAAGAAGAAGAAGAAGAAGAAGAAGAAGAAGAAGAAGAAGAAGAAGAAGAAGAAGAAGAAGAAGAAGAAGAAGACAAAGAAAAAAAAAGAAGAAAAAGGAAAAGAAGAAGAAGAAGAAAGAAGAAGAAGAAGAAGAAGAAGAAGAAGAGAGAGAAGAAGAGAAGAAAAGAAGAAGCAGAAGAAGAAGAAGAAGAAGAAGAAGAAGAAGAAGAAGAAGAAGAAGAAGAAGAAGAAGAAGAAGAAAAAGAAGAAGACGAAGAAGAAGAAGAAGAAGAAGAAGAAATGATGCATTTTTTGAGATGCACGATTTGGTACCTGATGGACAAAGGGACTAAGGAAGAAGAAAGAAAGAAGAAGAAGAAGAGAAGAAAGAAGAAGAGAAGAAGAAGAAGAAAAGAGAAAAGAAGAAGACTGGTTTACATCATTTCATTTAAAAAAATGCGTCTTCAGTTGATGCGTCCGGAAATGTGGCTGTGGTCCTATTATTGTTCTCTTCTTAGTTTATTTCTTCCTGCTACTGGGTTTCAGCTCAGAAGGTCACAGTCCTCTGCTTGATAAAGACACACGCACTCCACTGATCCGTCCAGATTAAGTCCCCACCAGGGTGATAATTATCCAGATCTGGGACTCCCTGTTGCACGTACAGAACCTGTCTGAAGCATATGTTAAGGATTCTGCAATTACTGTATACACGAGCGACGTTTTGAGACTGCAATCTTGAATTTCTTGTATGTGGAGTATATTGTGTCTAGTTAGCAATCTAAACATAATGATCGGTTTCTTTCGTGTGAGGAGGTGAATTAGGTGCTCCAGATTGCATTCTAAAGGTTGTTTTGATCTAGGTTTTATTTCTTTTAAAAGTGCACTCGTCATCTGTTTTGCAAGGCTTGCACCTTTTGATAAAAAGTCTATATTAATGTTCGGATCGATCGGTACGTTCCCTACACACACACACACACACACACACACACACACACACACACACACAAAATCCGTCCAAAGGTGGGACAGCCTCACCCCGGCTTTCGTCGGGGGTACTAATTATAACCTGCGGATTAAACTGGGTTTTTGGTAAATGAACTCGATGATTCGTAACCAAATGGTTGATGGTGACACTTTGTGTCATCGGGTGTTTATCGCTCGTTGGTGGGGTTAAACGTCAGTTAGTCAATCAGTCAGCTACTTCCTAAAGTTTGCCCTATTCTCTTAGGATAAAAAATATTCAATATGGAATGCAGACAAACAAGGCAGATCCCAGCAGCAGCAGCAGCAGCAGCAGCATCAGCAGCAGCAGCAGAAGAAGAAGAAGAAGAAGAAGAAAAATAATAAAAGAAGAAGAAGAAGAAGATGAAGAAGAAGAAGAAGATGAAGAAGAAGACGAAGATAGAAAATGAAGAAGAAAGTAGAAGAAGAAATTAGAGGAGGGGAAAGATAAATAAAACAATGAAAGAAGAAAAGAAATTAGGAATGCAAGTTGGTAGAAAGGAATCATTATAATAATAATAACAAGATGAAGAAGTAGAAGAAGAAGAAATGACGACAGTAATTAGGAGGATACTGCAGAAATATTTAAAAAAAAAGAAAAAAAAACGAAGAAAAAACAAAAGGATTACCTCCCAAACTGACTTAGCAAGCAACGGAAGTCAAGGCTTTAGAACTTCCTCATGCTCTGTTTGACAACAGCGTCATGAACAAACATCGCAGAATCCACTCGGCTAGCCTGACCAATCCAAAAGCCAATCCTTACCTCAAACCCTTCTAACTGGCACCCTGTCCAACTATTTAAAAGATCTTCTCATTATTCGTAGATCACTTCTCACAAGGTATCCTAGCGTTCAGAGGACACCAGTCACAATGAAGTATTTGAAACTGTCACTGGCGTTATTGTCACTTTTATGTAAGTAATATTAAGAAAAAAAATTTTTTGTACCTTTTATACTTAGCAAGGTTGTAAGTAAAGTTAAACAGCATTAAAAATGTTTGTTTCTACAACGGATCAATATCATGGTACAAGGATAGAAAACCGTAAGTGTTCAGTTCTACTTCTAACTCGAGCCTGACTCCGAAGAATCTCAGCGCAGTGTACGAACTCTGTAGCACCGGTGAGGATCCTGAAATACTTAGATTTTTAACTCCAAATTTTGCCCGGGCAGTGCGGTTAGGCTACTCTTTTCGATTTCCAATTGCAAAGAGATTACTTACGTGCGCAACGATACACACGGGTGTCCAACTTGCAACACAGAGACCAGAAAAAATTTCTAGAAATACACATGAAAAAAATCCCAACCTTCACCGGAGATTGAACCCTGAACCTCCAGCATTTGTGGTGGACGCATGCCTCGAGACAACTCAACCCCCTATTAGAAAATGTGAGGTTAAGCACTACGGAGAAAGTCAAAATGAGAATGCTGAGAGCCTGCTTCTTTCCTGTAGCAGCATGAAAACATGGGTGGAAGAGCATCTCCCAGTTCTTAAGAAAGCAAAAAGATCTAACCTTGAGGAAGATTTGCTAATAAACAGTATTTCGTCGCAGAAGCTGAAATATTTCGGCCTTATCAATCGCAATTGCGGAAGAGAAAATGCAGTAGCAGAAGGCATGGCACCAGAAAGGAGGAGCAGTGGACGACCAGACCTGAAAAGGACACAGGATATAAATTATTCCTTGGATGCGAAAGTACAAGAGACGGGAGAGTTCGGATAGAGATAGAGAGAGAGAGAGAGTTTATTTCAGGCAGGCAGTGATGAGAGCGACGTTCTGCAAAGAACCCTCTACATGATGATGACGATACGTAAAGGACCCTTTTCTAAGCTTTCAGACAAAAGTACTAGACCTATATTTTATAGATCAACCGGCAGTACGAGTCTGTGGCTTAGGCGTAACTAACGCGCTTCGTAATGCCGGGGTGTCGGGTTTGATCCCAGCTGCGGGCCTTGCGCCCTGAGTTAGTTTCGACAGTGGTATCGAGAAACCGACCGCCCAGGAGGCAATGGCAAACTACTGAACGTAAATTTGCCTAGAAAAACCACAACAGCCAAAAAAAAAAATTATAGGGTTAGTTTTGCAATTTCCTTTAAAGCGTACGCAACTAACTAACTATCTGATCGACACTTCTGTCTGTTATATAGAAACTAATATTTTATAAAGTATTTTGCAGTTAAGTAAAAACAAAAAAACAAAAAATAAGTAAAAAAAAAAAAAAAAAAAATTGTAAAGAGCAACATAGAGGCAGCCAATCTTGCTGTACAGAATACAAATCTTCTAGTCAAATATTTTGTTTTGGAGACAGAAATAAGGTTTTATAGACGAATAATGAGAGCATCAAGGGCGGTAAGTAATATGTTTCATCAAACTTGTACCTCGATGTACGCCTGTTCTGCAATAAGTACAACTTTTTTAAGGTCCTTTTGGAGGTGAAACAGTTGCTAGGTATTCGCTATTTTTTTTTTAGAATACGATTTACGTGCTAGAACATGTGAGCCTCAACCAGGTTCAAGTAGGGAAAATAGACAAAGTTAAAAGTTAATATCGAGAGTATCAACCTCATTGCATCGGGTTTTATCCCATCTGGCTCGGTCTCTCTCCTCAGAACGGCTAGCCGCCTGCTGAGAGCATCTTACAGAACACGAACTTCCTAGCTCCGGCCACGATCTCCAGTGATCTTCGTGAAACTGCACTTGTGAACGACCCAACCGTGAAAAGAAGCCGTAATTTTCGCTTCGCCACAGAAACCCCTTAGAGAAAAGAGAGCCCCAATAAGGTGGGGGTGGGGATGGTGGGAGCACACTATAATTTAATGCCTGACGAGTTTATTAGTCAGAAACTGTCTTTGAGACCAACATCTCCTACTTCCTTCTCGGCTCTATTCTACTGGCATTCCACTCTTCCCAGCAACGTAAAGTAGAACTAACTTTTGATTTATTTCATCTAAACTGCTTTTGTATTTTTGTATTTCAGTTTTAGGCAAATTTTAAATTATTGTATACACCCCTATAAATTATACTACGAGAAGTCAATAAGTGAGTCAAAAATAGTTATGGGATGCAGGAAAATGTAGTTGTTGATTTCTATAGGTGTCTTCAGGTGACAAAAACATCGAGCTTGACGTTGAATTTGTAGTGAAAATGTGGTTTAGAAAACAGAGCACGCAGTTTTGTGCAGCAGGTTTGGGAGGACTGATAAAACGATGGCACAAGTGCATTAATTTTGGTGGAAATTATGCTAAAAAGTAAAGGGACATTATAGGTGTAAAAATAAACGGTTTTCAAGTTATCATCTTTAGATTTTTTTTTAAACAACCGTTTGTGACTTACTTCTCTCGTACTAAAAAGAAATTTTTTTTTACAATGTCAATGGATTAATCGTTCTTCCTTTATTTCTAATGGGATAATTCGTTTAGTTTACGTCCCGTTCCACAGATCATGAATGGGTTAAGGACATATACCGAGGCACTACTTTGTGTTGGAAAAAACTATCTCCTGATGATCAATTTGGTGGAAATTATGTTAAAAAGTAAAGGGACATTATAGGTGTAAAAATAAACGGTTTTCAAGTTATCATCTTTAGATTTTTTTTTTAAACAACCATTTGTGACTTACTTTTTGACTTTGTGTTGGAAGAAACTTTCTCCTGATGATCAACCAAAAATTAAACATCGGGGGTGTGAAAACATCCCGTACAGATGTATTTTCTGCTAACAAAGACATACATTTCGCTGATGTTTAATCGAATATTGAATGACCAGGTTCCTGCCTGGCTCTGCCCACGGACTTCGACTACGACTGTAGTGGACTCCCCGACAACTTCCTCTACTGGTGGGCGTGTGGGTCATACGGCATCTGCCGGGGAACCCGATACTACCAGATCGACTGTGTTAACGGTACTAGCTACGACAGGAGAACTGGAGATTGTGTCCTGTAAGTCAGTCATTCTTCGTTATTAGTCTACCGTAAAGCGGTAGTCTATCCTGTGAGTCAGTCATTCTTCGTTTTTAGTCTATCCAGTAAGTCAATCATTCTTCGTTTTTAATCTATTCTGTAAGTCAGTCATTCTTCGTTTTTAGTCTATCCTGTAAGTCAGTCATTCTTCGTTTTTAGTCTATCCAGTAAGTCAGTCATTTTTCGTTTTTAGTCTATTCTGTAAGTCAGTCATTCTTCGTTTTTAGTCCATCCTGTAAGTCAGTCCTTCTTCGTTTTTAGTCTATCCTGTAAGTCAGTCCTTCTTCGTTTTTAGTCTATCCTGTAAGTCAGTCCCTCTTCGTTTTTAGTCTATCCTGTAAGTCAGTCCTTCTTCGTTTTTAGTCTATCCTGTAAGTCAGTCCTTCTTCGTTTTTAGTCTATCCTGTAAGTCAGTCCTTCTTCGTTTTTAGTCTATCCTGTAAGTCAGTCCTTCTTCGTTTTTAGTCTATTCTGTAAGTCAGTCATTCTTCGTTTTTAGTCTATCCTTTAAGTCAGTCATTCTCTATTCTCAGTGTATCATGTAGGTCAGTCATTCTCAGTTCTCAGTGTAACATGTAGGTCAGTCATTCTCTGTTCTCAGTGTATCATGCATGTAAATCATACTCTATTCTCAGTGTATCATGCATGTCAATCATTCTCTATTCTTAGTGTATCATGCATGTCAATCATTCTCTATTCTTAGTGTATCGCGTAAGTCAATCATTCGTTGCTATCAGTGTGTCATGTAGGTCAGTCATTCTCTGTTCTCAGTGTATCATGTAGGTCAGTCATTCTCTGTTCTCAGTGTATGATGTAGGTCAGTCATTCTCTGTTCTCAGTGTATCATGCATGTAAATCATTCTCTATTCTCAGTGTATCATGCATGTCAATCATTCTCTATTCTTAGTGTATCGCGTAAGTCAATAATTCGTTGCTATCAGTGTATCATGTATGTCAATTATGTTCTGCTCTTAATTTATCGTGTATGTCAATTATTCTCTTTTCTCAGTGTATCACGTATGTCGATTGATTTGTGTTCTTAGTTTATAGTTAAGGTCAATTATTTTATGTTTTTAATGTATAATGTAAGTCAATCATTCTTTGTTCACAGTGTTTCTTGTATGTCAATTATTTCCTACTCTCAGTGTATCATGTAAGACAATCATTCCATGGTCTCGGTGAATCATGTATATCATTTATTCTCTTTTTTTGTGTATTCTGTAAGTCAGTCGTTCTTTGTTCTCGGTGTATCATGTAAGTCAGTTATTTTTGTTCTAAGTGTATTATGTGAGTCAACGTTTCTTTTTTCTCAGCGTATAGTGTAAGACAGTCATTCTTTGTTCTAAGGTCAAAACAATTATTCTTAATTTAAAGATATGTGCAAATTAACGTCTTGTGTCTATGCTACATCTGGTATAAATATCTGCACTAACTAACATCTTGTGTCCGGTCACATTAATGTTTCATGTCTATGGTACATCTAATATAAAAACTGAAGCAAATTAACGTCTTGTGTAAATATTTCATCTAGTGTGAAGATCTACGTAAATTACTTCTTGTGTTTATATTACATCCAACATAAAATCTGTGCACATTAACGTCTGGTTTCATCCAATAGAAACTCCCAGGCCGTGACCTACCCCTGTAACTCCGCCCCCGAGGAGTGCCAGCTGTATAACGGCCCCGGACACCGGTATCCCGAGAGAACCGCTGACCCTGTGGAGAACTTACCTCAATGCACCTTCTACTACACCTGCGCCTATGGACGATATCTGGGTCACCAAAGATGCCCAGAAGGTAATTTATCTTTTTACAGGTGGTTACTTACTCGTTTTACTATATCAAGTTATATTTCCAAGACAATCCAAAACAGCGCAAAGAATCTTCTCACAGGAATTGTATTCATTCCAAGCCTATGCTACCAGTGCAAGACATGGTTCACTCACAACAAGCAAGTAACTACAGAGGTAAGATCTCTGAGAAGGCTGCAGGAATGTCTAGAAGAGACAACATCAGGAATGATGTCGTAAGAGACAAGGCTGGCACGGCACGGCAGAACCAGTTCTAAAAGTAAAGTTTAAAAAGCAACCGTATAGTTATTAAAAGTTATCATATTATGCTCCTTTTGATTAATAAACAGACCAGATATTTTCTTAAAACCTTAAGGATGTGGTTCTAATGAATCCTTAGAATTCCGTGGACAGCTAAAGAGAAGGAAAGATTAACAAAAAAAAAAAAAAAAAAAACACGAACGAAAAGTATATATGCAAGCTTCACAATATAACAAATACAAACAAAACGTAAACGTTGCAGCCATGGAGCCTTCCTCAGCACATTAAAATCAAACAATACTACACAGATACACAAAATCACTTAGCTGGTATCTCGAAGCAGCCGGGTCGATGGTTCCTCAACAGACTGCCTACACGCGTCGGCCAGGGGAATAAATACCCCCTGTAGAGTACCAGGTGCTATAAACAAGGGGTTAGACGTAAAACTGTGAGGGTAGTTCAATCCGCTAGGAGTTTTAATGAAACTGTGTTGGTAATTCAGTCCAGGGAGTGTTAAAGAACCCAAAGTGTAAATAAAGCGATTCTTAAGAGACTTGCGGACTCTGTCTCTTGAGAGGCTAGATGTAATGGCTGCCACCTCCATCTCGAGGACACCTTGGTGATACTGGCAATTAAAGTGCACAGCTAAAGAGAGCAATCCAGATGTTTTGAATGAGGTTTCGAAGACAACATCACAAACATCAGAAAGAAACAGTCATAATTGTTTGTCATGCTATGAGAGAAGGGAAAATGCACCATCTCGTGACCACTGGAACGATCTGTGGAAAAAGAGACAGATGAAGACAGAGCGAGAAGATTCTTGACAGCATTTTGCCTTGGAATGGAGCGGTGTTGGGAGGGAAAAGAACTCATACACGAAGTTGTCAATCGCAGATTGTGGAGAAGCATGATCGCCCACGCAAGTCGACAAGGCACTTGAAGATGATTTCACTGTTCCGTTACCATGGGACTAATGCACTTTTACACTTACTTGGTTCTATATATTTTCTGTTATTTTTTTTTCACAGCTTGCCTCTACCATAGCACTAATCTACAGTTATTTTTCACCATGTTCCTCTACCAGAGAACTAATCTACTCTTATTTTTCACCATGTTCCTCTCCAGAGAACTAATCTACTCTTATTTTTCACCATGTTCCTCTACCAGAGCACTAATCTACTCCTATTTTTCATCATGTACCTCTACCAGAGAACTAATCTACTCTTATTTTTCACCATGTTCCTCTACCAGAGAACTAATCTACTCTTATTTTTCACCATGTTCCTCTACCAGAGAACTTATCTACTCTTATTTTTCACCATGTTCCTCTACCAGAGAACTAATCTACTCTTATTTTTCACCATGTTCCTCTACCAGAGAACTAATCTACTCTTATTTTTCACCATGTTCCTCTACCAGAAAACTAATCTACTCCTATTTTTCACCATGTACCTCTACCAGAGAACTAATCTACTCTTATTTTTCACCATGTTCCTCTCCAGAGAATTAATCTACTCTTATTTTTCACTATGTTCCTCTACCAAAGAACTAATCTACTGTTTATTTAGCGTGTTTTTCTACAAGAGAACTAATCTACTCTTATTAGGAAGTTTGTAAAATCCATTTATGAGTGTATAGATTTTCCCGTCACAACCGACAGCCAATACCTTGGTATCCACTTGTCTCCCCCTGGCAGGTACCGTTTACGATGAGCCCCAGCAGAGATGCCTTCACTCGTCACAGGTGTCGCCGCCTTGTGGGACCCTCATTGATGTAAGTTGACCACATCCACACAGCTTCTCCTGCTTATTTAGACACTAGTGCGGCTGACATTATGGGCGCCGCAACACATGAATCATTTGGAAGGATGTGTTAGCAGCAATACAGTTTTCCAGGGAGCCGGGAATAAAAAAAAGGGGTGGGGTGTGCAAAACACAACCGCATAACGCGTGGGCACTTGTTATTTGACTCCATAGGGCTGCAAGCTAATCTGTGTATATGTTTAATTTTATCCAAAATTTAAGTTTCCTTCAGCTGACCAGTTGTCGCTGGTTTGCCCAAGGGACATTATTCTTGTTTACGAGCGCAGTCATAATAATAATGCGCTGAATGGCAAACGAAACACAATTTCACTAATCTTTATTTTTGCCGGAAGTAAACTCTGCCGGAAAAAGTTTTGTTTTTGTTTGTTAGTTGCTAAAGCTTTTTATGATAACTGACAACACTTTCGACACTTAGAGGAATACTTTTGTCTCCTAAAACAGGCTGATTATCTGTGCTACCTTCAGAAATCGAAAGTTTTGCTTATATGTTTCCGGTGTCTATATGGAAAAGAAGAGCAGCAAAATGAACGTCGTCGGCAGGATTCGAACCTACGCGGGAAGATCCCAATGGATTTCAAGTCCATCGCCTTAACCACTCGGCCACGACGACTTACAAATATATAGGAAATATATAATATATAAATAGGAAAACTGATACACGGTCCAGATGGTACAGTTTGCTATTGACCGACATTGAACTGCCGTCGGGTCACGTGCAATCGGTGCAGGAGATTACAGCGAACTCTCACGTCCCACTGTATATTTTATTAAACAACGTGTTGTGCCGTGGGGGTTGCGGAGTTTCCTTGTGAGGGTGGGGGGGGGGGGGGGGTAGAATATACCCACTGTCAAGTATGTCGTAAGACTCGACTAATTAGGGTAGCGGTTCTTATCCTGTGGGTCGTGACCTCTTTTTTGGGTCATAAGACCCTTTTACAGGGGTCGCCAAAGACCATGGCAAAACACATATTCATCGAAGTTATGAAGTTGCAACGAAAATAGTTTTACGGTTAGGGGTCGCCACAGTATGAAGAACATATTAAAGGGTCGCCACAGTATGAAGAACATATTAAAGGGTCTCTGAATTAAGAAGGTTGAAAGCCACTGAATTAGGGGTTTCCTTCGAAACCTGCGTGCATCTGTTTGATTTGTAAGGAAGCAACAGTTGGTTTGCATCTGCATACAAATAGGACAGATTTGTAAAACGGATGTACACGCAAAACTCAAGTTATGAAACAAGGTTGAAGTCCAGCAAAGAAAAAGCTACGTTAAGGCAACGAAACCTGATATCGACAGTGGTGTATGTATTTGTTTAATGTTGACGTAATGTGATACAAGCGGATAGAGGTTGAAGAATATTAGGATGTGTAAATTATATAGTTACATTAGGGGTGACTTTTAGAAAGTTTGCGAGAAAAAAATATGGATCATTACTTTTGTCACTTTGTGTGCGATGTTGCTTTAAAGAGAGCTGGGGTTCAGGGGACAGAAGGGGGGGGGGGGGGTAAGTGGGGCGGGGGGGGGAGGGGGGAGAGGGTGAGCAACCAAGCCCTGATGAAATAACAAATTTCTCATAAGAAGAAATGATATCATGGTTAATGCAGGATTCACATAATAAGACTCCCGCCAACTCCGTGGACGCTCAGTCTTCACCCGCAAAGGACAGAGAATGGGATGTCTTATGGTTAATGCCTGCATGTTCTAATCTAATCTTTTTATTAACAGAATGGGGGTGCTGCTTTTACATTTCAGGGTGGAGATCTTCATGATGGCAAACAGGTAACGCTTCTGTCAGTTGTCAGTATGTGTTTGTATGTCTGTCTGTGTTTGTATATCTGTCTGTGTGTCTGTTTATATATATATATATATATATATATATATATATATATTATATATATATATATATATATATATATATATATATATACACACACATATATTTATGTATGTGAGTGTGTGTGTGTGTGTGTGAGTGTGTGTGTGTGTGTGTGTGTTGTCCTGTCTGTTTCTGCGCCTGTTCCTGTAAAAGTACATATATCTGTTTTGTATATGTTTATATCTTCGTAATGCCGGTGTGCCTTGTTCGATCCCAGCTGCGGGCTATGCGCCTTACCTTGGTTTCGACAGTGGTATCAAGAAAGCCGACTGTCCAGAAATCAATGGCAAACTACTGGGCGTAAATGTGTCTAGAAAACGACAAAAGATAGGGGCTGTTGAGGTTGGTTCTGCAACGTCCTGTAAAGGATACGCATCTAACCTATATGTTAGTATGCATCCATTCAGTATTTATATGAGTGTTTATGTGGATGTGTGTTTGTGCCGCGTTTGTGCGTGAGTGAGTGTAACTGGATCAATCAAAAAAAAAAAATCAAGGAATGGTACTTACTAACACTAAAGATCAAATGGACAGATGGGTTGAATATTTTGAAATGCTTCTAAATAAACCTTTCCAGAGGTTCCCCCAGATATCCAGCATCTTGAAATGCAACTGGATATCAACTGTGAGACACCATCTAAAGAGGAAATTAGAAAAGCTATCAATCTTCTCAAGGAAGGAAAGGTGACAGGCCCAGATGGTATCCCAGCTGAAGCCATCAGGGCCAACATAAACACATCAACAGAATTGCTACACAGAGGAATTATGTTGCTGTTAGTTCCTGGAAAAATATTAGGTAGAATTATTTTGGAAAGATTAAAAGATGCTATTGATAAAAAGCTAAGAGATGAACAGGCAGGTTTTCGGTCAAACAGATCGTAATGTGGTTTCTCTTAATGGCATCCCACTGCAAGACGTGGAGTCGTATACTTATTTGGGCAGTAATGTAGATAAGGATGAAGGAACTGATAAAGATATTCAAAAAAGAATACAAAAGGCAAGAGAAGCTTTCATAGCACTAGGGAATTTCTGGAGGTCAAAAGAAATTAAAAGAAATACTAAACTAAAAATGTTTAATTCTAATATCAAATCAGTATTTTTGTATGGGGCGGAAACATGGAGAACAACTAAGGCAATAACTAATAAACTACAAACATTTATTAACTGGTGCCTGCGCAGAATAGAAGGAATTAAATGGTATGATATAAAAACTAATGTAGAGTTTTGGGAGAGAACTAAACAGGCTCAAGTGGACCAAGATGTGAGGAAAAGACGCTGGCGTTGGATAGGACACACACTGAAAAAACAGGAGAACAGCATAAGCAAAATGTCTTTGCATTGGAAGCCACAGGGCATAGGAATAAATGAAGGCCAAAAAACACACAGAGAAGAGAGCTGGAGAATGAAGTTAGAAAGATGGGGAGGACATGGGGAGAGCTCCATGCAATTGCGAAGTATAGAACGACTTGGCGTGAGATGGTTGAGGGCCTATGCTCCATCGGGGAATAGAAAGGCAGAAGAAAAAGAAGAAGAAGAAGAAGAAGAAGAAGAAGAAGAAGAAGAAGAAGAAGAAGAAGAAGAAGAAGAAGAAGAAGAAGAAGAAGAAGAAGAAGAAGAAGAAGAAGAAGAAGAAGAAGAAGAAGAAGAGTGTAACGTGTTTCTTGAAAAACTAAATACGCCTATTTTACTAATGTCCAACATTTTCTACATTGAAAGTCGAAGACTCATTATGAATATTACAATGAGTGTCTCTATTACTCCTTGCACCTAACTCTGATGTGGTGGGAACTCTTGAAACGTAGTCTGCTGTTCTTGTGCTTTACGCTTTCAATGTTGGCTGATTGATGTGTGTCCATTCCGACTAGGTGATCAAATGATTTGACTCTTTGACATTCTTTGAACTCATCAACCGGTACGGTGCCTAAGATTTTTCTTAGTTCTTTGTTGCTGACTGTCTCTCTTATTTTTCCCCCCGCCTCATTTCTTATACATGATTGAGACTGTACAGAGTAATATTCACAAAACGCAGTGAATTGCCAGCAGTCAAGCTTCCTTGTGGAAACAACACAAACTGTCAATCATATCGAGTAGTTAGCGACACAAGCGGCATCCAGTTTATAGCCAAGCTGACATAATCTAATATTTCTAACAGAGAATCCAGCCACAGACGGACAGCCTTGGCAACCCTGACCAAAACAAATGGCCATTCACGAACAACAAAAGTGGCCGACAGCCGCGAGTTTCCCGTGGTAGTCACGTCCAGCGTTTGGTCTACAGATCTGGTGATCAAGCCGCCGCTCCGCTCCAAGAGTTCAACCCTGCCGTGTACGGAATCAACGCCAATGAATTCGTCTCTGGAGCCAACAGTGAAGCTGAACATAAATAAGGCGTTGACACATTAAATTCATGACATGTTTGTTGTTTCATTAAGCGAACATTTCTTGGGTCTCATGTTTCGAATTTTTACTTTTGTGAATTGAGAGATAATAGTTTAAGTTGCAAGATTAAAATCGTGGTAGACGGGAAATAGTTTTACACATCTTTTAGTTTAGATTGCGACAAAACTGTTATCACACTAGACAAGCACATGCTTTACAATATTTTACTTTTAAAATCAATATAAATAATTTTTCCCCTTCAAATTCCACCATTTTTTCTTTGATAGAGAAGAATGGTTTGTAATTAAGGAAAATGAATTAACATTTTTTTGGTAATTTTACCTAAGTTAATATCTGCCTGCAGCTTTTGTATGTTTTTTCGATTTTCCCTTAAGATTAGTGAATAATTACATGGAATAATAATAAAAATAGTAATAATAATAATAACAATAATAATAGTTGAATAGACTTCAAAGGTTCTCTTTGAGAGATTATTCCTGTAAATACAATCCTGTGTGATGTTTCTCGCATCAGTGTTATTTTTATTTCTAAATTTACAAATAAAACCGTTCTCCTGGACAGTTTGTGTATGTTTGGCTTGTTTTAGTTTTGTTTATGTGTGTGTGGGAGGAGGAAGGGGGGAATTGGGGGTTAGGGATGGGGGTTAATATCAGCACACTGACTTTAACAGTTATCATGGTCAGGGGTGTGGGCGAGGCTTAAAGGCTACAAGTCAAGAGGCCAACCAAAACAGAGTTAGGAGCAAGAAGTAGAAGAAACGCCACATAAACGCAAGATGGCATTGCCACAAGGCATAAGACTACATCTTACTCCTCTCTGTGACGTTATGAGACATAAACAGCAGGACAATAGAAGAAGAAGAAAAAGAAGAAGAAGAAGAAGAAGAAGAAGAAGAAGAAAGAAGAAGAAGAAGAAGAAGAAGAAGAAGAAGAAGAAGAAGAAGAAAAAAAGAAGAAGAAAGAAAGAAGTAGAAAAAAAGTAGAAGAAAGAAGAAGAAGAAGAAGAAAGAAGAAGAAGAAGAAGAAGAAGAAGAAGAAGAAGAAGAAGAAGAAGAAGAAGAAGAAGAAGAAGAAGAAGAAGAAGAAGAAGAAGAAGAAGAAGAAGAAGAAGAAGAAGAAGAAGAAGAAGAAGAAGAAGAAGAAGAAGAAGAAGAAGAAGAAGAAGAAGAAGAAGCAAAGTATTAATCTCTTTTGCGGCTCAGTTGTTCTAAAGTAACAGAATGATCTTTTTCGAAATTTTCTATCCGGGATTCGACGTCTGGTACCCAGGAATTGTGAAACACATATACTAGACTTTAAGAGCCGATTTACAGAACAATAACTCTTTCTATTCAATTTATGGTGATGTGGCAACAGCCGCGATAGCCTAGCTAAATAGGATATGGAAGATCAAAATCTTCATTTCAGTTAACGGCAATGTATACAAATTACTGATATTGGTTATCTTCTTATATAGATATGAGCCTTGGACTCTTGATAAGAAATGGAAATGGGGATTTCGGCTTTCAAGTATAAATGCTATAAACGCATTCTAACAAACGAGTCATAGACAAAAATAAACAAATTTGCACGGTGAAATGTTACAAGCTAGTTTGGTTCGGATACGTGGTGAGACATGAATCAAAAAGTTTATTTCAAGGAACAATGTGGATGGGGGTTAAGGGGGGGGGGGTGGTGGGGGGTGGACATTTGGGGGGGGGGGGTGGAGACGGGTGTGGTCTATGTAAATAAAAACAAAACAAAAATCTTAGAAGAAGTCCTTTGTCGTGCAAAAGAAATGCACATGACTAAATTATCACGCACTTGCTGACAAAACGGAAAACAGAGAAAGATGACTGGGTTTTTTGTGTGTTCTAGTGCTTCCACCCAGACACCTCCACTCGGTGATTATGTTTTGCTTTTTGTGTGTGTGTGGAGTCACCAGGGTCAGCGCCAGATGTCTAACATTCATTCATGACATAATTATACAGTTTGTACATCCTAATATTCTCATAACCTCTGTGCGCTTGTATCACTTTGTGCCAACAGGAAACATTGACATCCACCCTTACCGGTATTGGGTATCGTTCTACTAACGTTGCTTATTCTTTGCTGCATTTCATCCTTGTTCCAGAACTTGAGTTTTGCGTGTACATCCATTTTACGGATCTGGAATATTTGAATGCTAATGCATACCGACTGTTCGCTCCTTACCGCTTAAACAGATTCACGTCGATTTCGAAGAAAATACCTTATTAGTCGACTCTTACGACATGCTTGTTAGGGAGACAGTGGGTCTATTCTGCCCCCCCCCCCCCCTAGCGATGAGGCCATAAAACCGTCACGTTGTATAGGGAAACATAAGGTGGGGGGTGAAAGTTCAGTACCCTGTACCGGATGCACGTGACCCGATTGCAGTTGAGTGTCGGTCAATAACAAAGTGTAGCATCTGGACTGTGTATTAATTTTCTTATTTATAAATTATATATTTTTGAACATCTGTAAGTCGTCGTGGCCGAGTGGTTAAGGCGATGGACTTGAAATCCATTGGGATTTTCCCGCGTAGGTTCGAATCCTGCCGACGACGTTCATTTTTGCTGATCGTAGCTTCTATTATGGACCCATGAAATAAATAAAGTTGCTAATTATAAATAATAGCGCAGAATATTTTTTTGTACTACAGGCACAGTAGCCGTCAGGGTGTAGTGGCTAGACGCTCGGCTGAGGACCGGAAGTTTTTCAGAAATGATTTCGGCTCCCATGTCGACCCAGCCTTAAACTGGTACGAGGTGAATTTTCTTACAAAAATCAGAACCGCAAAGGAATGCTGGATTTGGTTCTGCATTGTGTTGTAAAGGATACGCTAAGAACTTAACTGCAAAAACTGTTCATGATGGTAATGACATTGAGCTTCATTTCAGTTTTTAAACAGCGTCTTCTGTAATATTTGTTCTTCCCTCGGAGTGGTCAAGTCATTAGTCTCAAGCTCTGAAGGTCGTAGGTTCGTTACACGTCTGCGTCGTTCGCTTCCCTTGTACTGCTTTTACGGTGTTTTATATTAATGGTAATATTCATAATAAACCTCTATCTTTCACTTTAGAAAAAACGGGAACATTCGTAAAATCAGCGTGCTTGTTGTTACAGTCACTCACACTCACACGCGACACATACATACATATACAGATATCGCTACACATAAATAATGAACAATGCATATAAACATGTACAATATGTCGTGGAATGATAATCCATTACGCATCAGTCCGTAAGACTGGTAACTTGACTTACCTGTAATCGGCAAAAATTCAAACTTGGACTCGTCCGGAAAGATATAGTCCCTTATATCTATATATATATGCCTTTATTAGACAACATTATTATGTCTACAATTTCTGGTTGCTTTGACTTAACTCCAGTTTTAAATGTATATCCATTGGATAAATATTAGGGGAGTTATTTGAGGTTTCTTTGAAACCGATTTACTCCTTGCCCATGTATACTGGGAACTCCTTTTTTTTTTTACCAACGCTTGAAGTGCTTAATTTGCGCCATTCTTTCTTGCCGGCTCCAAGCGTCCAGACATGTCAATCTATGCCTGTATAATTTCACTTTCATAGGGCAATCTGGGATGTCTCAGACTTTTCATATGCTTGGGTAAGTTAATTATAGTTTACGAGTACCTAAAATGATGTCTGTTAAAGTAGTCACTGCTGTAGAGAGATCAGTAGCGGCTGTGGGATCACACATAGTTCGACCGTTCTTGATCGCTAGAGAAGCGGATTCGAACGTAGACCTTCCCCTGTACAGACTAAATAGCCTATGCCTTAAATAACCCACCCATACTGGTAAACCTAAAACCTTACAAGTGTGTACTATTTAAACTGGCAACAGAAGTTTGTGCATACAAAATGGGGACAGAATTAGGTCAAGACTTTGTCGGCCAGTGTGTGAATGTGTTGACCCAGATCAATGACTGGTAGGACTAGCTTTGGGAGTGTAAGGAATAAATGTACTGACAGTAAATATTGTTGTCTGTGTGCAGAGGGGAGGGGGGGGAGAGAGAGTGATATATGTGTTAGAACACTCTATCTATCTCCACTGTATATCTGACTTTCCTTCTCTTGCACTAAACAGACATATGAATGATAGGAGACTTGTGTCTCCTGGTCTGGAGAGGCATTCTGAGGAATGAAACAGGAGAGCAAGGTGGAGTAGGCAGATGGGGGATGATGACTGATGCTTGTTCTGTCTTTCCTGTCAAGATGTTACCCTCTTGGTGATGACTAATTCTGAGTTATTTCTTGGCAGGATAAATCCTTTGTGAGGAGCTGGCAGAAGTTTCACAGTCCAACCAACACCCACCAACCTTAAACCAACTATCAACCAACTACCCACCAGCTAACACCTGTGAAGATTTCTGACATTATCACTATGTGGGGCCAGATAAACCAAACAGCCTACCAGAGCAAGAGCTTGGTGTAGCTCAGAGAGACTGGTGTGACCAAATTGGTGTGAGAGACTTGCTGAGTACCGGTACAGTTGCTGTGTCCTCTATGGTGAGGTACCCTTTCACTACCTGATCCAGTTGAGCAGAATTACCAGAGTCAAAGACAGTCGAATCATCAGGAGCTGAGGGAGGCATCATAGACAGAAAGAGGCTAAGTGCAGTTTGATGCCTTATGTGCTTTATTCCTCACAGCTCCTATGTTTCCCAATGATGACAAGATGTCATCTCCAGGACCTGCTGTCTGTGTAGTAACTTTGGTATTTAGACATTATTTTCTGAGATTCTTCCACTGATAGCTGGAATTCGTTTCACTATTATATATCTATTTTATATTGATTACATGCATTCATTTTCATGGCTGACTTAGGTGTCTCTATTTCACCTTTTTAAGTGTTTTGCAGTTGTGTGTGTATGTATCTTCATTTTATGTGTTAACATGGTTATGATAATGAACTATCATAACCTGGGGGCTTTCTTTAGTAAGTAGTGGGGGTGTCCAGCC